GTAGTGAGGTGGGTGCTGGCCTCTTGTCTGAAGTAACAGGTGATAAGACAAGATTAAATGGTCTCAAGTTGGGCCAGGGAAGGTTTAGGCTAGATATTAGGAAAAATTTCTTCACTGAAAGAGTGATCAGGCATTGGGCTGCCCGGGGAAGTGGTGGAGTCACCATCCCTGGAGGTGTTCAAGAAACGTGTAGATGTGGTGCTTAGGGACAAGGTTTAGTGGGTTAAGTGGTGTGGGTTGACGGCTGGACTTTATGATACTTAAGGTCTTTTCCCAACCTTAATGATTCTGTGATTAAGCTGTAGAGTAATGCCTGTCCCCAAAGGGATTACAAAGAAGTCACACTTGACAAGTTTGCTTTTGCAAATTAAGTACTTTTGCAGATTTTTAAAACTATATCACAATATATTAAAATTAAGGAATTAGGAGTCTTAATTTTACAACTAGGATTTTATGAGAACTGTTGCTGATACTGAGAGGCTTCTTATGCTTTTGAATGCACAACAGAGCTCTATAAAGGTCATGTTCTGATGCTATAACTTTTGTATTGTGTTGCTGTCTAGAATGTAGGCTAACATAACTTGACCGTCCTGCGATGGTGGTGTTTTTCCTTATGTGGAAGAGCTATAACTTACAAAAAGATCTCTAAAAGATACAGTGAATGTTGCCACTGAATTCAAATTCTGTGTTGACTATGGCTTCCTAAGAAGAAACTGCAATATTTTACTGTTATACTTGCAACATATTTCCTGTAAATTTGGCTGCTTTATGTTTCTGTATGTCAAAGACTTGATATTAATTGTGGTTTTTAGTTTATGAACTTTATGAAAAGCTACATAATTAGCCACTGACTCCAGATATTGACTTAATGATAGCATATATTATTTCTGCACTAGTCTGTAGATTTCCTTTACTGAAATATGTATATGTGGAACGTGCCTTTGCAATGTGTGATCACTGAAATGCAGAATTATTTAGGGAGAAAAACTTATATCTATTACATGCATCTAAGCAGGCTAAGATTCTTCACACCTTCTTTTGCTTATACTTTTCCTGTTTTCAATTTAGCTCTTCTTTATATAATTTTTAAATGAAGCTGGAGGTGAGGCTGTCAAGAAAACTAAGTAGTTACTTCAGATGGGTAGGGGCAATAGTCATCTGTCTGTCTGAAGAATAAAATTTTTGAAAGTGCCGAACAGCTCCCTATTTCAGAAGTGACTCTTACTTCTCTGACTTCTTCTATGTTCCGCTGCCTTGCTGTGGTGCTTGGGCTACTGAATGTGCTCATTTTACAAGTGTTTCTTTGAAAATTTTCTGATCTTCAAGACTGTAATATCTGCTGAACAATGCAATCTTGAATAAATAAAGCTTTGGATTCTTGGAAAGTAAAGAATAGAGCCTTCACTATTTGCTCAGTGCATACCTTCTTCCCCCTGCCCCCCCTCCCCTCCTGGCCTTCATGTGCCGTGCTGTGGAGCTGGGCTGCAGCTGAGCGGAGACGGGGCATATTGTGGGCACTCTGCTGCTGTCTGCGGGGGACAATGGCTGCAGTGTCGCCAGGGCCTACACAGGGGCAGTTGATGGCGTTTCTGTGAAATTGCAGTGGTCTACAGCATCTACTGAAATCTGTAGGATAAGCAAATGCAAAAATTCTTTTCAGCTGCTGGGCCTCTGAAAATGCCATGTTGTGGCCTCGTTGATAAATGGCCCAAACAGCAGAACAGTCATGAAGGAGTTGGTTCAAACGGGGAGGCTGCATGCCATTCATGTTCAAATTTTAACTGTGGAAAGAAATTCTCATCTTCCCCACCCCTGTGGGGGGGGAGCTGTCTGCTCCAAAACTTTGTCTTCTGTCAGCTGCCCTTGTCAGTACAACATTATCTTTTGCCTAAAACCTGGCTCACAGAAGTAGGGCCTGGGCCTGCTTTTTGTTACCAGCAGTAGGAGGACACAGATCATAGAAACACAGAATGGCCTGGGTTGAAAAGGACCTTAAAGATCATCTAGTTTCAACCCCCCTGCTGTGGGCAGGGTTGCCAACCACTAGAGCAGGCTGCCCAGGGCCCCATCCAGCCTGGCCTTGAATGCCTCCAGGGATGGGGCATCCCCAGCTTCTCTGGGCAACCTGTTCCAGTGCCTCACAGGATGCCCTCATTTACATTCCCAGTTCAGGTAGAAGAAGAACAGCTAGAACTTCGGGACTAATTGCCGTTTCCTTAAGCTGTAATAGTACTGCTACAGCAAGCAGCCTTTTTACGAGTGTCTTTGATTACTACTATAAAGTGGTAGGCTACAATATTGAAACTAACCTCAAATAAAAATGTGATTTTTTTTGTTTTTGTTACTGACTTCCATGAACATTATTTTTAGGAAGAATAAACTTCTTGAAGACTGATTTTTATTTCTGAGTGTCTAATGGATTTGTTGGGTATTGAGAGAGTTCATAAATCTACAGACAGAAGGAAGCCTTCTTATTTTCTGCCCCTCAAAACCTCTGCAGGATAGACAGCTAGGCATGTTGCTTATGCTCTGTTTATACTTGTATGCTACTTCTACTAGTCTGATTGTGATCAGACCTGACTTTTAGTCTGCTTGTTCTATTTATCTCTTGAAGATGATAATGTACTTTACTTTTCTTGGGAGTTCATATCACACGATTCATAAAAGTCATTGAGATATAAGCCAAAAATAAAGTATATGAAATGGAGATGATAACAGAAATGAACACCATAGAAAGTATATTATTTTTTAGAAGATAATAATATAGAAGTTGGCTCACATTAAGTCTTGTGTTATTTTAAATATAGAGATCCAGAAAAACTAACAACTACTTTGTGACACTTAATGGTGCAAAATATTTTAATCAATTGAGTTACTGAATTTTCCTTGTGCATTCAAGTCAAAATTTTTTATGAATTGAAGAAAAATTTAGATGTCTTAATTTCTGTTAGTGATATGTATAGCTTTCAAAATATGTTGAATTGTGTGTCATAAAAAAGCTACAGCTTTATAATCTATTTTATTGATATTTTAAATTTTCCTGACTAATACCATCTAATTACAGTACCTGTAATTAAGGATTTACTGATGGTACTTTTTCTTTCCCCCAGAAAAAAGCAAAAGGCCAAGTGCTGTTTGACAAAGTGTGTGAACATCTCAATTTACTGGAAAAGGATTACTTCGGTCTGTTGTTTCATGAGAATTCAGAACAGAAGGTAAGCCTGTATGAGGAGGTTTTATGTTTGGTTTTCTGCATTGCTACTGACTTTAATAGTTTAGTGAGATATACTCTGTTAAATGTATACCATTTTAAACATTTCAGTAAAGCATTGCAAAATGTCAATTCTAGTCTGCTGTAAACTTGCAATATTTACAAGATACTGATGTGTATGTTAAGATACCTGACAAAGCACTCATTTATTTTTTAGAGTGGGGGAATATTTAAAATATCTGCATTTTTGAGAAAACTAATTGAGTAATTGCTAGGTTTTACAGTAAAACAGTATGCCATACCGGCAACTGAAGCCAGGAAATTTTAACTAATATCTTTGCCTTAAATGTCTGACAACTCCCCAAAGTTCTGAATGCTTTCATTTTTTAAGTTTTTTAAAAAATAAAAAACCAAAAACTTTGGATGGCAAGTAATACAAGAAATAGATCTTCTGCCTGACTTTCCAAAAATTTCACTGCTTATTCTCATGCATTTTTAATAATGCTTTGAAGAGGAACATAAAGGAAACCTTGCCTGTAAGTCTGTAACTGTTAGGCTTCAGAGTTCCTTTTTTGTTAATTTTAAGCTTAAAGAAAATTTTGGTATTTGTAAAGATGAGTCTGCATTGATGCATAGTATATGTCTTTCTTTTTTCTTTTTCTTTTTTAAAATTGTTTTTGTGTTTGTGTTCTAATGTACTTTTAGCTGAACTAACAGATTTATTGGTATTTCTCAGTCATATTAATGGAGAAACACCTTAAAAAGAACCCATATGTTTTTTTATATGTGTATACATGTAGTTATCATTGATTCCTAGCTATAGTGTGTTTAGCATATGAAGCGGGATTCCAAGGCTTTATGGTACATTGAGAATGATTTGAAGTTACTCATTCAAAGTAGTTAAACTCCTGTGAGGCATAGAGATTGGGTTGGGACAGTTACTGAAATATCATTGCTAGTTCTGGCTTCCTCAGAAACTCAGGTCAACCAGTGGATTCCTTAAAAAGATCTTCAGTTGAGGAAAAAACTATGGATCTACTTTAGGCACTTAGCTTGCAAATAGAGATTGATTATAAGAGTTAGACTATTATATTTTGAATGCCAATGAGTAACAGTGAAGGAGGGATTTATTTTAGACATTTTCTGGCTGGGTAGCCCATATGTTCTAGTTTGAACCCAAGTGCCCTTATATGGATGGTACTATGTATCTGGTGGAACTCTTGTCTTTGCCAGATGAGTGGGAATACACAGGTTTTCAAAGAAGAATCTGGAAACATGGGCTTTGTCATGAACTAGTCATTTGGCTAAGTGCATACAGGCTTTTACAGGTTGGACAGTCTGTACTGTGACATGTACACGGTTGTATAGGTATGTTTATTTTTACTGCTGTTGTCACTCAAGTTATCTAATTTAAAGCTACTGCTTTTTTACAACACCATGTTTGGAAGTTCTTACACCAGCTGTGGTATAACCTGATAATGTGAAGTGTAGCTACTGCAGTGTCTTAATATTGAAAAATTAGTGGTTGCATGCTGAGAGAGTTCCCCTTCCCCAGCTGCCATTTCTTTCATGCTGGTAAATTTGAAATTTTATAGCTACATAGAATGTACTTAGTAAGATTGGAGCACTCATTTTTGTTATTACAGGGATTTTTTTCAATACATGGGTGAAGACTCTTTAAATTGTTTTCAGTATGTTAGGTGTTTGTGGCATGTTGTTAGTGAATCCTGTGCTTCTGTCTTGGGATGTTTTAAGTATCTCAACTTTTTCATGCTTTTAAAAAAAGAAAAAAACATTTAACATTTTATGTTTTTATTTAATTAATAGATAGAGGTGTGGGGGGCTGATCAGTTGTATTCAGCAATAGCTGCCAACGAAAGCTTGGAGACTTGGAACTTTCTTTGGTTTTAGGGCCTCCTCTTTTGTTCACCTCTGTAGTAAGTTTGAATTCTTTTTCCGTCTCAGTACCAGTTCCTTCTGATGCATTTTTTTCCCCTGTTATGACTGTTGCCTCTTAGATTAAAATGCCACAAATCTCTGACCTCCAGACCAGTCAGTACTAAATACTGAATGATGTGTTTTTCTCATTCTTGTGCCCTCATCACAGCCACCCATTTATGAGCCAGCTGTTGAAGTCGATGGCAGCTGTGGGGTGTGGAAACTGAATGCCAGGCACTTTTTTGAATTAGAGCTGCTCCCTAATGCACCATCAGGGTACCATTGGAGGAAGATTCCCATTAACTTTTCTCTATGGGAGTTCTGTGCATCTGTGAGAGATGTTATGTCTTCAGATCAGGCTGATTTTTGTTAGCTTTAATACCCGTTTTGAAACTATTTAGGTCAAATGATTCATTAATGATTTCTTTCGTGGTTTTGCAAGTGTTAAATTCATTGGTGTAGAGTTTAGTTAGTGATTTCATTGCATTACCCCCTCAAAAGTTTGTGAATGCTCCATTCACACTGTAATTGGTCTGCAGAAGTGTTAAAAAGCTTCTGCTCTTATGTTTTGGGCACCAGCTGGAAATGATGCTTTTCTGAATTTGTACAAAATACTTTTGTACTGCTAGAGAACATTTTGTTGTTCTTTGACAATTCATTACTTTGTCTCATCTATAACCTTACCATTCACAAATTAAACAAAGATTTCTGCTTACTGGAGCAAAGTAGCGTGTATACACTTTGTCTTTTGTGTTCAAAGACAGACCTGTCTATTCTGCATTAAGTCTATTTTGGGTAGATTCTTTCAATAGTGTTTGTTTTAGCCATAACATAAGGCATAGATGCAAAAAATTCCTACCCCTGTAATGATGTGTGTAAATGGAATGGAAGCATCTGATTTTGTTTGACAGAACAACAATGAATGTTGGTGGCAGAGTCTGCTTCCAATAAGCTTACTCAGGTTTGGAAAATCAGAAAATGAACTGTATAACTTTGTAAAGAAAGGATTATTCTTCTCATCTTGCAGCATGTTCTGTATTGTATGTTCTTTCTCCTACTTTATAATGATGAAAGATAAAGCACTGAAAGTAACATATACTCAGGAATCCTAGTTTTCTGCTGTAGTTATGCCATGCTGTATTCTACACTTATTTACTGTATTTACTTTATAATATCTAAAATTTAAGAGTTTAAGCTACTTCTGGTTATCTCTATAATAGGAAGAATATTGCTGTGTATCATTTTGGAATGGAATTAATGCCAAAACTAAAAACCTAGATTAATAACTGTAGATGAAGTGAGTCTCAGCTAAAATTATTTGAAAACTTCTGTTGTCTTCCAAGGTCTTTCCATGTCACAGCTGTTCCAACAGATTGCAGTTTTTCTGACTTAACCAGAATAAATGGTATCCAGATCTTTTGGAGGGGTGTTTTATGTGTGTTCCTTTGTAATGATGTTATGGACTGTGCCTCTCTGGAAGAATTGTAGTAGCTATGAAATGTTAGAGCTTGCAGACTTCTTAAAGCAAGAAATGTGAAATTATTCTTTTTTTTTTTAATTACATCTATAAAAATTATAAAAAGGGTTTTTTCATTTAATTTATAAAAGTATTTGTCTAATATATACAGGCTATGTTTATGATGAAATAAGCTTGGATGAAGGTCAGTTACAACAGGGAACTTAGTATTTTGGGTCATATTCATAGAAGCTGCATCCTTTATCAGCAGAGGTGATCTACATTAAGGATTTGCACTAGTGCAAAAACATGTAGTTCCACATTCTCCTATTCTATACAACTGTAGCCTGTCATGTTTTGTCTCCTTGAAACACATTTGACTTTGGGTGGAAAAGCCTGTAATAAAGACTGAGGGGTATGGTATTGGAAAACAGTTGTTGCATCTGGAGTTTGGTACCATAGACTGAAAGGGGACTCACATTACACCCAGTATCCGCTACTCGACTAGGTTAGGCAGGACTAACATTGGTAGAGATATGCCTTTAGCAACATCTGTGCTGGCACTGAGGTCCCCTCTAACTTAAAAGCTGCTAAGATATGCAGTGGTTTGTGAAAATGCAAATATTGTCCTTGACTTTACAAATTAGTTGCTAATTCTTCCCTACTCTGCACAGCTCTGTCTTTGAAACGTGCTAAGTCCTGCTGGCAGGCTGGTTGTGTACATGTGTGTTTGTTCCATATATATGCTTGTGTATGTTTATCTGGCTGTGGGTAATAAAAGTTTTAAAAACCCTGTATAAAGTAAATTCTCAGTAACTACAGTTAAAAAGCTTATGTTTCTAGTCTCTTGCACAATCAGTTTTCTAACATCTGGGTAAAATTAGTAAACAGGATTTTCTGAGTTACTGATGAATATATGTTACTGATTTCTTAGTCTCACTTCCCCAAGTTATATTTTTGGATGGTCAGTCACAAAAAAGTCTCCTTGCACATATCAATAGTAACCGAAATGCTGTGAGCTCTTCAATAGGTTGCACAGATTATATAAAAATATTTTTGGTATTGAGGATACAACACATTTAATAGTGAGGCATCTAAATATAAAAAACTGACTCTATTTTCATTGCCTAAAATAGAGCTGAGTATCTAGATTTGAACCTTGCCAGTGTATCAGTGTTAACATAGTATATGCTCGTAGAGAACTTGGCTTTGAGGGAGGTCAGAAAAAAACCATGAAATCTGATTAGGTTTTTCCAAGCACCTTTGAATGTTATCAGAACTAAAAGGTATATGCTTTAAGACAAAAAATGGGAATAATTAGTCTCTGGAGTTCAAGAGAAATATCGTCTTAAGTAACTCTGTATGGGTGTGTAAGCACAAACCTGTAGAAATTACATAGCCAATCCTGAAAAGTCTGCTTATGTCAATAAAAGGAGTATGAGAGAAAATTGCATTTGTCATATGTAATTTGCTAGATCAGCTCCACTGTAAAACTAACTACTTGTCAAAATTACTGAGCATAAATATTCTAAAGCAATAAGGCAACCATGAAGGCAGTGGCATTACACAGTTTCTTTTATGTGCAAGGGTGGGGAGACTTGCTAGCAAATCACAAGTTGAATTTTAGAGTTCTGTTGGTTATTTTAAAGTAGAACAGATTTCTGAACAATACAAACTTTAACTGAACTGTATGAAATTACTTAATCTTCAGTCTGAAATTATTTTAAATACTGATTGTGGTTTTTTTTTTTTCAGAACTGGCTAGATTCTTCAAAGGAAATTAAGAGACAAATTCGAAGTAAGTACTTCTGTATTCAGATGTTATGCTCCTTTTATTTCCTCATGGAAATATTCTTTGTAAACCTAGTATCCTGGATGTCAACTAAATTGTATACTTAAAGCATTAAAATAACTTATATCTGATAATAATGTATTCAGGCTTAGAGCAGAAAGCAAAACTTTTATTTCTGTCCACTGTCCAAGAAGGAGAAGAATGAATCACTCAGCCTTGTGCTGTAGAAGTTAATACTGGCTTCTGCCCCAAAATTTTCCTGTGTTGTGTGTAACTAATAGTTGATCTTTTTGCATCCTGAAATCGTAGATGTTTTTCTACTTTGTGCTGATATAGGGGTTATGGGATGGAGAATGTCAGCTTGCAAAGATGGTTGTGGTTGTTGCTGCAGAATTTCTAACTTCAAAGACTCACCAGAAGAATATGAAACTATGAAAAGAGAATCAGTATGTCTTGCAGAAAATGTATATTTTTCAGTCCTGATCAGTCTAGCATTGGCTCTTTTGATGTATCCATCATTTCCAGAATGGAAATGGAATAGGGAGGATAATCTGTGGATGTCTCACTACGATGCTTGTCAGACTAAATCTGTGTGAGAAGTCTTTCTACTTCGTATACTCAATACACAATGAGCAGTTTATTTTATTCTGCATAAACCTGTCAAAACTCTGCACTAACCAAGTAGCTTTTGTAGTAGATAGGTGAGTGAATGGAGAATACATTTAGGAAATACTCTATGTGAGTATACATGTCTCAAAATAAGTAGCCACTAAGAAGTGCTAGACAGCGCTTGCCCTTACTGAAGTTCGTCTCCGTTGCTTTACTCATTTGTGGCTGGTGCAGGGTTGGTTTTTTTGTGGTTTTGCTTTTGATGGAAATCTGTTTTCAGTGCCTGATAGGAAATGTAAGCAGGGAGATGATGATAATAAGATGTACATGTTTACACTTCCAACACAACAAGAATTTAAGTTATTTAAGAAACTGACTTTGGACCCTTCTGGGGAATGTGATCCAGTGGGAGCACTTGTAATTAAGAACAACAGTGTGTTATTTGCAATGATCCAACAGGCAGTTTCTTTACTATTGTTAATTTCCTGTTTTAAGGCAACAATTAACATTTTTTCCAGAAATCATAGTAGTTTTAATTCTGCTTTCTTTAGACCTTTCCCAATTGATGAAAACCCTTTACTAGGAAGGTATGGTTTATATTTTCAGTAAGGAAACAAAAGTTAAAGAAGCTTCCTTAGAAACTATTTTTTTTTAATCTAACATGCTCTTGTATAAGCAAAGTAGACCTATTAAAATAACAAACGTACTGATATCCTTCTGCAAGTAGAGGCCATCCTTTTAATTAAGGAAAAGTTACTGGTATTGTAACTTCTTATTCTTCAGGTCTTCAGTAAAAAACTGTTAGTTGTTTTGTTTGGCTTTAATATTTAACAAAAGATTCAGGACATTGATACTTTTTGTTTCTGTTTTCTGTAGTGATCTGCATGCTATACAGCCTACAAGTGTCACAAATCTGAAGTGTAGAAACTGATCTGAAAATTTTTTGGATGCACTAGAGAATATTTTTTAGTACTGTATAATACATAGCACAAAAAATACTTTAAGAGGATATGATTTTTTCATACAGCATGAAGACCTACATTTTATGCTGGAGATCAAGTCCATTTTCTTGAATTAGGCGTCATGACTAGAGTTTTTTCTCTGGTCAGTAGCACTTCAGAGTTGATAATGCATAGTGTATAAGGCAAACAATCAAGTAAAAACACCATTTTAAGGATTTTAAAATAAAACTTGCTTATACCAATTTGCAAGTAGTCAGCATACTGTCAGTTGTGTTCCGCAGAATCAGTGTATTAGTTTCCAGACACTGATATGTACTGCAAAAACAAATTGTATCCCCCGACTGCAAGAGTATCAAATAATTAGTCTTTTCTTTGTTTCAAGGTTAGTTCTAAATACATTTGGCTTTGAGTCAAGAATGGAAATCTTATGTACAAAAATACTCAATTATAATAAATTTAAGATACCTCTAAAACCTACTAGTTGATTTGAAATGAAGAAAGTAATTTATTTTCTCTTGTACAGCACAAACTGAAGCACTAGTGTGCTAGATAAGTGTATCTGGATAAATACATTAATCTGAACACATAGGGATGACAAATGGAGTGGAGTTCAGCACATCAGTTTGCAACTTAATATCTATAACAACCTCTGTCTCTCTGTTACATGTGAACAATATCAATACTCTGCACATTGGGCATGTGTGTGCCATCCATTACTGGGGAAGATGAAATAAGAATCCTGTAGGCTTCCCCACATTGTGTCAGGCTGTCTCTTGCTAAGTCAGGGTCCTAAGGCTGCCTTTGTGATCTCTCATTTGTTCAGGCTGGCCTTTGGTGGGGCAATTATGTTGGATCTCAGCAATTATTGATGTTACTTTGGCTAATGAACTTGATCTACAAATTACTGGCTCCATTCTGAGGGCTACAAAAGGTGGCAAAAAGCTTGTTTGCTTTCAGCCAGCCTGATCTCTTCAGGAAAATTAATTCTTGACTTTTTTTAACTCATGTAAGTGGATATCCACAGGCATGTGTTAAAACCTCTAATTCAATCAGAGGCAGGTGGGCTAATTACGTCATTTCTGCTGCTATCTTGAAAATTGCTATACCTAAAGTGGATTCGGGCTTTTTCAAAACTGAACATTTCAACTTGGATATAGCGATGGTATAAGCAGTAGCAACTGACCTTGGAATAGTCAAATCCCAGGCTTCACAGAGAGTGTGGTAGTTTGCCCTTTATATAAAATTTAATTTGTGAATTTATCTGTGTGAGGTGTTGTACATGCAGTTTGTATAGGTTATGTTCTATATTTTCAGTATTCTCATCCTCAGTGTAACAGTGTTTAATGAGTAAACTCCATAAACCTGGTTTCATTGTGGTGTTAATTGCAGTTGAAGACCAGTCTTTTGTCTGCAATTTAAGTGTTCACAGTTATATCTTTGGTAAAGATCAGAGATGTGAATGTATAAGCCATCAGTTTTAGGAAGCCTAACTATTTGCTCATGTTGTTTTAGTAGTTGAAGTATATGAAATTAAGTAAAAGACCTTCTCACAAATTTTGAAACTATTTTTGGGATATATCCTGGGTTTGATGTGGATATAATTTATAGTCTTCTAAACAGATATTTAATTTCCATGCTGTGTGGAGTAGTTGCTAAAATTCAAGGTAATGTTAGGTCAATTAAAACTATGTCTAGGCTGCAGCATGACGAGTATTTTTATTGCAAAAATAAAATTCTATGACAAAATATAGAAAATTCTATGTCATATCCTGTCTTTTTTGCTTTATGAGAAGGGGGAGGATTTGGATGTTATATGGGCAGAACAGACTGGTGTTAGGGCTGGTTTTTTTGTGCATTCTTACCCGATAAAGGATACATTTAACTGGTTTTTGCTATTGAAATTGACTGTAAAGTTGTTTCACTTCTTGTCAGGAGAATGCTTGTTTAGCCAGAAAGATTCTAGAAGCTCATCACTGTACCTAGAATATGATTAATCTGATCTAATCTAGATCAACTGTGTCCACCTAAGGCAATTGCACTTGTTTTCTGAAGGAACAGGCAGTTTCAGGAGATGAGGGAGTGCGTTTTGAAATGGTTGCCTGAGAGGGGAACCAAACCAGCCTTTGCAAATGCCTGTTGTTCTGTTTTGGTTTGGTTTGGGTTTTTTTTATTGCCTATAAAGGGAGTGAGTTTTTTTTAATATGTTGATATATAGAGAAATAAATTTCAGCAGTCTAGGGCTGAGTGAAACTGTGTCCACTGGCATCAAAAAAGATAGTGGTTATGGTGATAGAAAAGTTATTTTCTTTTTAGCAAGGAGTGATTAACTGAAGGAGTGAAGGCAGAAAACTTAATTTGCTTGTTACTTAGTTCAATTATTGATGGAGTTGAGGGAAATCCTCTGTAATTCTATGGAAGTGAATTAGAACAGATGAAATAATACACTAAGTGAGGAACCTGGTGGCAAATCTTGGGCGACAAATTTAAGCCTTGCTCCATATACATGTTGAAAACTGTTCTCTGCATTCTCTTATTAATGAGCATCCAGTAATTCAGATTGGGGAATTTAAAAAACAGCCAAATGGAATACTGGCCTTTTCTTTGTGACTTATGTAGGAAACAGTTAAGGTAGTTCTGGGATATGATGGAGTTGAAATGGATTTTTGACATTGGTTCTATGGTATGTTCTGCAATACAGCCTAAACGTCTTAATTGCTCAGGAAAACTGATGTTAGGGAAGGATAGTGGTTGAATATGGCTATTTTCAAATTACACAGTAGACTAAATGGTGATAAATTCATAACTACAATTCTGTGAGAATAATAGTTATGTTTACATAACTATTTACAATTTTGCAACGCAGTGTACTAAAATAAGAAATTAAAAGTTTGCATTTAAAGTGCTAAGGGAAGTTAGAATTAGTTAAGGAATAAGCATGCATTTTAAATGTACAGCTCTGGCTGTCTGATTTTAATGCTAACAAAACACTGTTAAGCTCAGGCGTCAAAATATGGGGGTTACTTTATGCAGGGTCACTTTATTTTGCATCCATCTCTTTTAAGTAAATAACTATATATCTGTAAAAGCTGTAGCTAATTTCAATCTAAGCTAATTACACTAGAGTCTACCTTATAGTTGGCAAAGATAAATAAGCATCTGTGCCAGGGAAGAGTTGTCCTGCAGAAGTGCTCCTCTACATCTACTAATTATAAAGAATGTTTTTGCAGTTTGGAGATGTCAGAATTTGTGAGCTGAATCTTTCTTGTTAGTCCGACTAGGGCTGGCTGGACGCTGGGGATTTTTTTATGTATTTTTGAAAATATGCAATGGATACAGACATTATTTCTTTGATTTTCTTCAAGGTAACTTAAGCAAAATTATAGAAGAAGTAATTTTCTTAATTTTATGAGACTTTTCTACATCTGTGTGTGAGCAGTGCATCTGCCCTAGTCACACAGTACCCAAAAAATATTAGCTGAGACAGAGTTATCATCAGTAAAAGCCTTTACAGGGAAAAAAAAAACCCCTCACTGATTCCCAGTTTGGACGGGATGAGTCCTGTTAATTGTATGGTGGTAGCTGGCGAGTTATATTGCATTGTTTTTGTCTAAGAATGTGCCTAAAGTTGCTGTAGAAGCATTTTTGAGGTAACAAGCCGGCTAGAAAAATTTTTGACATTTCTATAGCCCATATTACTAAACATCAAAAGAGAGAGCCTTGTCAGGGACAGGATGCTAAATATCACTTTAAATATCAGTTTGTTGGGTTTTTTGCCTTTTCTACCAATTCAAAGTACCACTAATAGTGTTTATGATTGTGTGAAGACAGTTATGTTTGTGTGCATCCATTATGTGGCTATAAACAGTATGTTGTAGTGAGAAGTAGAGACTGTGCACATTGTAATATAGTTGCTAGTCTATATTCAGGGGATAAATGTGCTTTCAGTAATCAGGCAAAATATAAGGTTACCAACTGTCCAGAAAATACTTAGTAGAAATTCAACTACAACATTTTTTTCTATGGATTAGCTATGGGAATTAGTATGAGTAGACATGAAAATTTTTCACATAGTCTATAGATTCTGAGGATTTATGCTCTTTTTAGCTTTTTATAAAGAATACAGATTTGTTTGATTGCTTTTCTTCAAACGGTGTCTGGGTCTCCTGGCTACAGTGCTTTCTGAAAGCTGGAAATGTAGAAAAATTCCTGAAACTGTAGAAATGCTGACAAGAAAGAAATAGGTTAAGCAGGAATTCATCTGTGACTGGTTTAACTGAAATTTTATTCCAGGAAGAATTGGTTCATATCAAGAAACATTGCTTCATTCCAGGAAAACTTGAAGACTGGTTTAATACTTATGCAGAAGGGCACATCTTCACCCCTCTCTCCCCTTCCCACAGCCGTGTTAACGTAACAACTCTCCCTAAACACTTTTTTGCAGAGGCATTTTGACCTAATTGCTTCTCTTCATCAGTTTGGCTTTCTCGATATCAGCAGCTTTTCATTAAATTATGCTAATTCCCTGGGAGATAAATTATGGAAGTGGGCTAATGTACTCCAGCTTCTGTGTGTTCCTGCTATAGATATTAATCAGTGTTAGACTTTTTAAAAGGTTTTTTTTTCTTAATTCTGCCTTGCACTGGATTGCAGTAGGTGATGCAGTTTTACCCTGAATTGATCAGAGTATATACCATGAGTATATCTGATAAATTAGGCTTTCTCATTTAAGGAGTCCCACCTTATTTTGTAAGCAAAGTTATAATTGTTTTAAGAAATAATTGATAGCTGGGAACGTTAAGATATGCTAAAACCCTGAGCTCTCAAAAGGAAATAGTGACTTAGAAGCCAGGTGAAGAATGAGGGTCAAGTTTAAGCAGAAGTTAAAGTGCTCCAATGAATAGTCATGTCTGAAAAACTGAAACAATTTTTTAAATGTTGAAAGACTTTATAAAGTTTGACACAAACCACCTCTTAACTTTTAATGGCTGTGAAATTTTAAAATAGGGGGTTTTTTTTGAGAAAATAACGTTAGACCAAAATCTCAGCACTCTTTTCTAGCATAATGTTGGAGATGGCATTTCAGTCCTTTTTTTTTTTCTTGTTCAAATACACATATTCCGTGATGTTATTTATCTGCATAGGACAGATTTTTAAAATCATTTACTGTCCAAAATTTATCATTACCAAGCTTTATAAAATTATTACCTTTTTTTACCAAAGATTACTTTTGCTAAGTCTTTCACCAAAATATTATTTTAATTAAGAGAAAAAGTGTGTGATGAAGACAGAAATGTCTGTTTAACTGTTTAGATAATATTTTTATTTCTTATCTTTCTTCATTACTTTTAGCAGATCTACATTGTAGTGTTACTTTCTTTGTTTGGCAAGATGCGATAAAGCTCAAGTGCATTTGCTTTCGAGAAGCATGCAAAACCAAACTATTAAATTATTTTCCTAGACTCCTATTTTGGTATTTTCTATTACAGATGTATGTCTGCATTGTACTCAATAAAATCTGTTTGAATTAGGAAAGTTCTACATTTTCTTAAGATATTAGTACTTTCCAATGACTGTATTCCTCTTGCACATAGTGTTAGAATACTGGTGGAGTAACATTCTGAGAATGTATTTAGATTATTGATGAGTGACTTCAGCTTTTAAATCTTAAAAAAATATTTACAACTAGAGCTATGACTAAAGGCAACATTTTATGTTTTGTCAAATTATTAACTAGTTTTAAGCATACTTTTGCTTAAGAAATGCACATGGTGTTAACAATTGTAACACATGAGAATTTAAACTTAAAATATTGCTATTATAGTTGCTAAAACTATTTTCTCTAAAATATTTTAAAGGAGGAATGACTAATATTTTTTGTCTTACATACGTTCTGTATGAATACGAATAATTTTCTTATTATCTTTCTGTTGTATACAACACAGACCTCATTTTGACATCCCATGTTCATAGTTGTGCAGTCCCTCAAACTAACAGTCAGTTTAAACAGGAGGAGCCTGTTAGCCCTGGAGGAGTTGGAAATAAACACAAATTCAGTGCAAGTGGCTTTGAACACATGATACCTTAAAGTGTTCATATATTGTGGTAGTTTTCAAAGTAAAAGCTTCTGGTATTTGCGTAACTTATTGTCAAACATTCTTTAAAAAAAAATTCTAACATGTTGATCTTTCACTGTATGTTTATATGAGTTACTACCTAATAATGAAAATAATCTACGCTTCCTGGTAATACCATGTAAAAAGGGGAAAAAATTTTCTTCAAGATTTCAGTGGTATAAAATTTACATGGCTGCCTAACATTTTTCAGTAAGGTTCTTTCTTTGCTTGCTTCAACCTGTTTGAGATTAACAATGGGACATTTACCATGTTTAGGTTTACCTTGGGCATTCACCTTTAATGTGAAGTTTTATCCCCCTGATCCTTCACAGTTGACTGAAGACATCACTAGGTATGCATAGTTCCCACTTTTTAACTTCAAAATTAGACTTAACAGGAATTTTTAAGGCCATATAAAATTTATTCTTCAGTTTCTGAATGCTGTAACAGGTTTGGCTGTTACTGTAGAACACTATAGATGTTCTTAGATCAGCTGCTTTTTGGAACAAGGATGAAAAGGCAAAGTGAAAACTTCAGGAAGAAAATTGAGAAAGAAGAATTTAATGATAAGTGGGGGATATTGTTTAAGTGGGAGGTATGAAAGAAGCCAGTGGTTTTTTGTTGGCCTGCTGCTTTATTATATTGAAAATGAGGGTGTGGGGCTACTGATACTAAGAGCAAAGCTCAAGGGATCCAAGCTACTTCAGTAACAGTTGAGGCTAGGTTGGTGAAAACATAGTTTTATACATATGCATAAAACATAATAAAACCTGAAAATAATTATCTTCCAAAGTTCTTAGACAATATTTAGAATGCAGTGGATACTAGGCACCTAAAAAGTAGAGTTGCAAGACTAATATAACCAGTAGATAGAGTGCAGGGTATTGACACTCATCTTTTCAGGAGTTATGGAAAACCTAAAAAGTTATTTTTGGTTTGGAGTTAGCTGACTGCTGAGGCAGGATGTATGTTACTACACATCACATCAGCCTTTGCACAAAATAAGATAGGTATGCAAGTGTGTAGCTGATATATTACTACAAATAGTCTAAGACATTTAGTACACAGTGTATTTAAAAGCAGTTGTCCGTGTTTTCTTTGAAGATTTAGAGCAAATTGATTGGCTGTTCAGTTGCAGGTTCAACTGATAAAAGCATTTTAATGATATTAGCTTAAAGCTAAATTCTTTAAAATTTAAGCTTCACTTGTAGAACTTTTTAAAAATTTACATTAAAAATCTATACCCTATAAAAATAGGGTAGGATGCCTACTGATTGTTAAATTGTTAAATTTGGTAGAAGAGAGTATGCAGTAGCTGAAATACTGAATTCTAACACAGGCATGGTTTAAGGAACGCAATTATGGGTTCAGTACTAAACCAGATTTATTTTGTGTATTACATGACTTGGTTAGCTTGTGAACTGCAAGGGTTATAAAAGTTAGAATTTTAAACCCAAAGGGAAATGTCAAAGGAAATGCATGGGGTTTTATTTGTAATCTTTAGATACCTGCAGGCTATAATGTGAAATGAAGGTCTTTCTAAGGCAGCTTCTGTTACAAACTGGATACAATTTTTCATTCATTTATATTGGAAATCAGAATTTTTCCTGCTCTTCACATTATTTATGAAAGTAATGTCAACTCTTAAAAATGGAAGTGACGTGTACTATGTGACAATAATGCTTAACTAATGTAAAGTGTAACAAATTATTAGTGAATTGACTTATTTTACAATATGCTCATATGATTACATGCATTTAAATAAATTCTGCCATATCTCTCATAAGCTTGCCATTGGTAACACTTTATCTGTTCTTGTTTTTGTTTGTTTGTTTGCTTTTTTTCCCCTTTCCTTTGTCTTGCAGATATTTCTTGTGCCTACAGCTTCGTCAGGATATTTCTTCTGGTCGACTGCCCTGTTCTTTTGTGACTCATGCCCTCCTTGGTTCATATACCCTGCAGGCTGAGCTGGGTGATCATGACCCAGAGGAGCACCGCAGCGACTACATCAGTGAATTCCAGTTTGCACCCAATCAAACTCAAGAAATGGAAGAGAAAGTAGCTGAGCTACACAAAACACACAGGTGTGTCAGATACAGTGGGATTAAATGAAATCATCATGCTTTGTCATGTTTATGTCAGTTCCTTTAAGAGTATGTGTAAAACTGCTAAGCTGACATTTATTGTTAGTTTGGAAGTCTTGTGGTATGTAAGTAGAACCTCTTATGTTCATGTGTTTAAAATTTTCAGTTTGAAAATAGTAGATCTCAGAAGAGAACTTTTGGATAAAATATTTTTATCTGAACATATGAATTGGTTTAAGCAGCATACAGCTAAAATATTTTGAAAGAGTAAAGGTTGAGTAAAGTAATACAATGTGCTTTGAAGGAACACTTCCCCTTTAGGGCAAATATCCTATTGATACCTTACAAACTGAGGTTTTGTGTCTGAATTCCAGGATTCCACTCAGTTTTGATTCTCAGTTCTTTTGTCAATAGACTCAAAGCTGATTCAATGATTTCAGGGGCTTGACTCCAGCACAGGCGGATTCCCAGTTCCTAGAAAACGCTAAGAGACTCTCCATGTATGGAGTGGATTTACATCATGCCAAGGTATTGGGGATTGGGTTGGGTTTTTTGTTTTGTTTTGTTTTAAGATAGACATGCTCAATATTAAAGACCATAGTATGTATAGATTATTTAAAAAAATTATACCCTCATTTCTTAGGTATAAGCCTGTTACCTCTTGGTCACAATAATTGCTCAGTTTACATTAACAATCATTAGTTTACTCTAATGTCTTTAGAATTTATTTTAAATCTAGGTTCATTTAGTGCATAGATGTATGTGCAGCTTGCACTAAATACATTTTAAATGTCAGGTTTTTGATGCCAAGGAGATGTGGAGGCATAAAATAAAGCCTAAAAGAGCATGTAATTGTTTTTGTAATACCATGAGAGTTAAAACGGAGGCTGTGTGGGAGTAGAGGTCTTTGGGGAGGATGGTTTTTTTTATTTTTTTTCCACTCCTCTGGGTAGATCAAATCAAATTTGCATTTCTAGTGGGATTTTTTTAGTTAATAACCCAACAAACCAGCTCCCTCCCTCTCCCTCACACAAATCCAGAGTCTCAAAAAATTAGGAAAATTAATGCATTGTAAACATATCAGTCCTATATGTAAAAAAGAAAGCCAAGACTTTTAAGTACTGGAGAAACATAGTTTAATTCTGTTTCATATGGAAACATTATGCACTTGTTTTTGCAGTTTTCCATAGACTTTTTGCTGTGTTCTGTTACAAACACTTGAAAGGAAATACTTAGATTTTTATTCACATACACTAACTATCTCTAACATTTATTCTTTTTGTAATACAAGTGCAGCATGGCAGTGCACTTGGTCTGTAGAGTTTTAAGGAATGTAGATTTTTATAGTTTTATTAGAGCTTTCTTTTGCCATAGTGAAGTAACTGCAAGTGTTAGAACTGCTGTTTGCTGGAATCCACTTGCAGCTGTTAGTTAGGCCAGTGAAGCAACTTTTTAATTACAGTGTTATCATTTTATGTAGTTGATTTGTTGTTGGAAAGGACATGAGATTCTGCTGTACTGTGTAGTGGTACAGTATAGCAAAGCCTTTTCAGTAACTGATAAGTTTTGTAGCCTGTAAAACTTGCATCAAACACTGTCAGTGGAACAGAATGTTAGAAACCCAGCCTGCCAGCACTTTGACTGGAACGTTATGTTGACATTTTCAGCCAACTGTCCATTACTTCCTGTATCTTTATTGGACTAGTAGGTGACCATGATCACCAACTTGTTCAGACTTTCATTGACTTTTAAATTGGAAAGGCCTGTTTTTAATATTTGTTGAAATTATTGGTAGTACACCCACCATACCTCTCCTTGCTTATAAGTTGTTGACTTAGTCCCTATTGCCAGAATATTGAAAAATTTCCAAGAACTCTGGCATATGCATATAGAGGCATGCCAAAGCCATTACCTTAAGGCTTTCTAACAAAAAGAATACATTTGGCTGTTTCTGCTTTAAGATTCTCATTGTCAAGGTCTTCCAGGTTTGAATATTAAATAAGTCCCAGTTGAATTATTCCTTCAAGGTATGCCAGCAATAACTACTTGTTTGGAATATTATTAAACTGATTTTTATGAAATTGTCTCCTACATGATAGGACTCTGAAGGTGTGGATATCATGCTGGGTGTATGTGCTAATGGACTGCTCATTTACAAAGATAGACTCCGGATCAACCGCTTTGCTTGGCCAAAAATTCTGAAGATTTCCTATAAGCGAAGTAATTTCTACATCAAAGTCAGGCCAGCAGAAGTAAGTAGCACCTTTCTGTCTTGTTTCTTTTGTGAGATCATTTCTATCCAGCAACGAGAAAACATCCTCATTTTTTTTCCCAGATGTCCTCAGAGGTGTATGTTAGGTTTGACCAGAACTTAAGCATTTTTTGTTTTCCTCTTCAGGTTCTACTGATTGTATTGAACACTTGTCTTGATTAGTAAATGTAAACGAAGAAGAAAATCTATTTTCTTTTGTTAGTAGGTGCCATCTTGTAATATTTTTTAATTTTTTTTTTTTTAACAAGGAAAGCTAGTTACACTGGCCATGTTCTTACTGTTTATACAAACTTGCAGTCCTGGGAGAGAGCCGGCCTCTCTTCCTCTGAGTATAATTGTTCACTAAATGTCAATGCATCTAGCTGTATGGGTACAACTAAAGGCTTGAGTTGTCCTGTAGGACATAACTCTTTTTGTTCGCTGCTGTGGAAGTAGTGGACTCAACTTTCTTTTCAGATACCGTTATAAGTTTGTGGGAGTTGCTGAATGAGGGAGGGTTATGTTTTGAAAACATTGTAACTGTAAATTTAACAAAAAAAAAATTAAACAATGTAATGCTTTTTTAGATTATACTCTAAAATGTGTAAGGTAGCTTTTACTGTGTAAATACATAAAACAAGTCTAAATACCAATAGTACGATATTGACATTGTAGTTCTGTAAGTGTTGGAACACAGATGTATTGTTCTTGCACTCACTGATGGTGCATAGTTGTAATATTTTTGCTAAGAAACTATTATATAGTGAAGCAGATCAGATAAGCTTAACACTGCAGTATGGATTTCAGACTTTCATTAGATCCAGGGAAAGTGTGTCGCACAATCTGCAGTACAATTACTTCATGCAGTTTAAAAGTAAATACATTTGGCAGCTAGTCAGAAAATCAGCAAGGAACACTAAAGTATTATTTGATTTCTCAAAAGAGTCATTACTACAGATAGGAAGTGATAATGTGATCATTACCCATCATGACTAGCCCTGAAGTGTAATTTTATTAAAAAACTGGATATTCTGATTTTTTTTTTTAATTTTATGAAGTCTTATGACAGGAGAATTACATCTTGTTACAGTAATGGAACTATTTGAACTCTGCTTGCTAGTTAATAGCCATCTTAAGGAAATAGGTTAATTTGTTTTTTGATTCTTTCCAGCTGGAACAGTTTGAGAGCACTATTGGATTCAAACTGCCAAATCATCGGGCTGCTAAAAGGTTATGGAAGGTCTGTGTGGAGCACCATACTTTCTTCAGGTAAATAATTCTCTGCTTCCCCCACTTTGCCAGGTATGTTCATATCTTTCTTTTAAAGGATATGAGGAAAGTAGAGAAGACTTTACCCCTCTTTTCCCCTAATTTCTCAGTCTAGTAACACCTCTTAGACAGAAGACACCCTAACAGTCATTGACCCCAAATTATGAATTCTGAAAATCTCAAGTACAATTAACTGCTTTATTTAAACTTTAAGAGTGCTAACAGGATGCAACTAGACTAGTGATCATACATAAGACTTCCTGAGAGATTGACCCTTCAGAGTGACTGTCTCCAAAGCCAGTATACTTCTTCACAAGAAGCTCTCAAGGCTTGAAAGTAATCTTAATTCACTTCGCTTTTTAGAATATTCTGCTGAGTGTAAACCCTCACAGATGATTTTTTTCCATATTTGTAAACTGGGCTGAGTTCAAAGTCATTCTATCATAAGAAATTTAAAAACAGACTACTATTTGTTTATGTAATACAATTATCCAAATTTATCCATAACTTTCTCTGCATTTTTTTCACCAGCAACTGATAAACATAAAATTCTGAATTAGTTGTTGAAACAATGGTCTGTTTGTAAATGAGCACTTTAACAATATGCCACAGAGTTGTTTCTCTTTCTACTTCTTCCATTCAAAAGGAAATTGAAACATCTTCATTTGAGTTTTGTAATAGCACAAACTCCATGAGGGAGTGCATTTGCCCCCTCATGCCTAGGAGTCACAGCCTAGGAGTCACAGGTTTGGGTTGAATCTCTTATGCATTGAATAGGCGTTGAATCTGAGTTTCTTGCTTCAAATGAGCACAGTAACTAGGGTGTGTAAAAGGTGAACTTTCTCCTGTTCTTTATTTTAAAAAAGCAACTGTGTTTTAAGGTAGATGCAATCCTGTTGCTGCATAGTCTAAGCTGAATATACTTGCTAGACTGAGACCTTCAGAAAATTTAGGGACCATGAGACCTAAACAGTTCATTACTGGAACTCATTGGATGGTTTTCAGTTTTCAGATTTTCACTGAATGTAGAATATTCTTGAATGCAATGGTAGAATTTGGGCTAAGATTGGCAGTCTCAAAATGCTTAATTTAGAAGTGCATTTAAAATCCTGATCAAAGGGTGTTTTTTTTTCATGTTTGATAGAATTCTTCAATTAAGTTTATTAGGATACATAGTCCACCATTCTGTTCTTTAAAATTTGATGTGTGCTTTGGCTGATGATATGCATTACCACAAATAGCATGCAGTTCTGTTTGTTATTAACACTCTTCAAATAACTCACGCAGTGATTTCCTTTGCTGGGAAACTGTATTTCCTAATTTTGCAGATGGAGCTGAGTAGGGAAAAAGGAAATCCTATGGAAGTCAAAAATCCTCACTGAAACTACTATTTGCAAATGTAAAGTTTTCAGGAGCATTAACACGTATTAGATAATCTTACTACAGAAATTCTGACATAATAAAAATAATTGGATTTTATTTCAATCAGAAGTGGCTTTTCCTAACCAGGAGTAACATAATAATGGAAATTACGTAACAAATACTTGAACCATTCTGTAAAATCCATATACTCTAGTGTTGTCATCAGACAGAAAATCCTCAGAAACTCTCATCCTGATTTAAAAACAGTAAAATAAATCCAGCTCTATTTTTCTCCAAAGATAAAAAGCAGAAAGCAATTGCTGCAGTCCAAGAGACTGTAGCTCTTTCAGAGCATGTGTAAAGCTTGTGTATGATACCACAGTAAACTGTATTCGATCTAGATATACATTTTTAGCTTCCAGATCTCTTAGCATGCCCTGTATAACATTAAGATTCCTAGTGTTGTCTTTTGCAATGTTTCAGTTTTTCTCAAATAGTTATATTAAGATCCATCTTCTTTTAATTTATGGGAAATTCAGTCAGCATATAAAGGTATTTATAAAAATTTTGAAATAAGCTATATTGAAAATGACAACCAAAAGGAATTGGATTCACTTGTATCAGCTCAACCTTATAGAATTCCAGTACCACTTTCAAAAAGAAACAATCTACTTAAAGAAATGCAGTGAGACTATGTGTCTGCGTTAATCTTTTGGGATAAGCTCAGTCTGCAACTCTGGATCTTAACCAATGGCTGCAGAACCCTGCTTATAATTCTGCTTTATAATGTTTTATTTGACGTTTTCACTACTGTTTCCAGTGTCTCCGCAGAATATCTTAAAATGGTGAAAACATATTCTTCAGTTATTTTATGTAATTAAGCTTGTAATACAAAAAATCCATTCAAATGTCCTTAATCAGGAAGTAATTAGTTCTCTTGTTTTTTCCACATTAAAAGATTAAAAGTGTATCTCAGCAGGGTAGAAGATAAAAATGGCAGTTAATGCTGTAGCCTTGCCAAGACTGGAAAATAGAGAACAGAAGGAACCTTGGAAAAACCCTCTTAGCCTTCTTCCTCTTACTGCATAATGCACTCTCTCTTGGAAATAATGTGGGGAAATAAATTGTCACAAAGATTGAATAAGGCTATTTTATAGAAGCAATGAAAGTGAAACTCCAGATACTTGTGATTTTAAAAAAAATGTCCGTAGTATAGAAGGATGGATTAGTCTGTCTTGAATTCTGTTTTCTTTAAAAATGTGTTGGAACAGATCAGGATTCAGGTGCATGCAAATGCATCTCAGCAAGGCAGGATTGGATCCTTCTGGCTAGCACTCTGACAAAGCCGTAAACACCCTTTCTTGGAGAAAATTGTAACCTTCTACCTATCTGTGTTGTTTTTGCCAAGTGTCTTAAATTCTTCAGTTTTGCTGAAATATCTTTAGAAGGACTGTCAGTTTTCACAACACACCACTGGATATTCTTTTAACCTATATTGGATCAGATTCCACTAACACAGATATTCCCTGTGCAAATGCTTCAAAAGAATAAAACAAATTCAGCACACTTTTAAGTTTTCCTTGTCCATCTGTGCCATCCTAAGTACAAAGGGCACAGAAGTTGCTGGTTCTGCTTGAAAGAAGCCAATGTTCAGTGAGCTTCCCATTCTTTGCGGATCCTCAAATCAAAAAGCTCTATCTGTAATAGTCTGGTTTTCTACGGAGAGAGGATAGGCCATGGAGACTGCCATGCTGGGAGAGCATGTATTTGCGGCGCTATGTTGATCCAGGAAGCAACATCAAAGACCCTTCTAGAGAAGCTGAGACTGGGAAGAGTTCCTGCAGTGATGCCTGTTTATCCATCCTATCAGCAAGGCTGCCACTGGAACAAACAGTATCCTCAGCGTTGAAGCTGATGGCTCAGATTTCAAAAACAAAGTACAAGCGAGGAATGTTATACGAATAAGAGCTTGAAGTCCTCATACTGGAAGAAATTCAGGGAGGTATAGAGGCCCTGTCTCTTCAAACTCGCATGACGTCAAAGACTGGTGGAACAAAGCAGAATCCCTCATAGGAAATTCTGCCACATTGTTACTTGGACTTTCTGACATTGACTCCAACACTTAGGTACAAGCATACATACCCTGCACAGAATCTGGTATTCATAGTACCCGTAACTGAATCTCTTTATCACCCTTTTCATGATATGCTTTTCCCCCCTCCTTATATCCAGCAGACATCAACTTATATAAATCTATAAATAATGTTGTAAAGAAACTGGAGTCTGAATCTAGCTTAAGCTTCTTACTGTTGGGTCACAACTCTCTATTCATCTCCATCTTTTTTTCACTTGGTGCAGTCTTCTATACATCTTTGAGGTGCCATTCCCTAACTTTGAGGAACAGCAGCTGCTGTCTTGGTGCCTCGGAATATAGGAAAGACAGTGGAAGGGGGATGTATAGTTTCTACTGTAAGTGATGTTCTAAGGAGAGAAATCTGAGAGGTATTCTATACGGACCTATAATGGCCTCAGCTTTCTACAAAAAATACATTTTAACCAAGATAGCACCAAAAGATAAGGATGCATAGTCACACTGTGGAAAATGGGATGGTTATCAGCATCACTTCAACTCCAACTGCAAACAATAAATAACATGCATTTTTTTAGAAGTTCTTCTCAGAGCGAATGGTAGAATGATTTCTTGGAGTGCACAAATCGTGCATGGTGAACTAAAGTTGAAATACAATAAGTAGCTTTAAAGTACCTCATTAAATACATAAAATAAAGCCTTTTTAACTGCCTTTCCTTGTATTTACTTTTCAGACTTGTATCGCCAGAACAGCCTCCAAAAGCAAAGTTTCTAACTTTGGGTTCCAAGTTCCGCTACAGTGGACGTACACAAGCACAGACACGACAGGCTAGCAACCTCATAGACAGACCAGCTCCGTACTTTGAGCGCACTTCAAGCAAACGAGTTTCCAGGAGCCTTGATGGAGGTATGAAATTTAACTTATTTTCTTCAGTGTAATGATAACATTATGTGTTGTCACTCTGATCTGACCAACGTTTAAAAACATTGACATTACAGATGCCCAGAATGTCAATTGACAGATTTATGAATTTGAGTTTCTGAAGGGTTATGAGTAGCCATTTTGGTTACTTGTCAGTTTTAGGTGACCTGAACAGTAAGTTAAGTCACTGCCTAAGTTGTATGGCACTGCTGTGAATATATAGAGGATTCTATATTGTAAATATAGCATCTGTGTTCGCTACTCATATCTTTTACAGGATAGGCATGCACTATATGCTGTTGATTAGAATTGTTTGGTCAGCAGCATCTTTTGGGTTCTGGGTTGGCCTGAGAGCCTCTCTCTGCACCAAATAGAAAATGCAGAACAGGTTTTTTCTTCTAGTTTTGTATCATTTTGTTCAGTATATTGCTATCGTAGTATATTTATTTATTAGTTCTGTGTTTAGTTAAAAAGTTTTATGTTGAGGTTGTTTGAATAGCTAAAATTTTTGTGTGGTTACTGGCATTTGGTCTCTTGGAGCAGAAATACCTTCTGGTTTTCTTTATTGGCAACAGCCAAGCTTTCCAAAAGTAGGTATGGCAGCAGCATGTGTGAGAGATGTAAAAGCACATGTTTTACTCTAAATCACTGCTGAAATAAATATACAGTAGAAAAATTCACTAGAATAAAAGTGAACTGTGACGGTGATGCAAGTTTAGCTGCAATTCACCTGTTAAGTTTACCTTATTTTCTCCAAAAATCTTTTACTTAGAAGGCTTCTGCAAATATTCTCTCTTCTATACTGGGACAAATGAGTAAACTGTGGCATGGGGGAAATCCACAAAGGCTTACCTTCTGAGAACAGAAACAAAAATAAGAGGCAAAAGGGCTTGTGCTGGTGTTGTGTGATGAGTCCTTGTGGCAACCAAAAGACTTGTCACCACATCAGGTGGTCAGTCTGGTTTAGTTCCTGTACTACTTTTTGTTAGAAACAATTTGCATTCTTCCCAACTCCATGGGCAGGTCTTTCTGGGATCCCTTGTACATCATCCGCAGAATGCAGATGTGTATGTGTTGAGGTCCAAACTTTCACTCTTATAGAATCATCACAGTCAAAATTTTGAGCATCATGAAACAGTGCTCTTAGTGTTCCTTTTTCCCCCATGTAATCATCTTTGGTTTCATCTTGAATGAAGTGCCATATTCCTGGCAGCATTTAAGGCAGCTTTCTGGTGTTGCCATCTGCTGGCTGTAATAGTTTTAAACTGTGTTTGTTCAAAGTCAAACTCAACTATTGTTCTTTCTTCAGGCAGTAGTCCAGAGGTAAGTTCATACTGTGGGTGTACGCTTGAAATGAGAAATTCTGTAGAGGGTGTGCTTGCCTTCTGCCTCTTTTGTGAACAGCATGTCCAATGCCACTGTTACTCCCAAATATCTAGAGTTGTGTACTCATCCTTGTAAGTGTTACTCTTGCTCCGCCCCCAACCTTGCCCTCACTACACAGACCACCTCACAAATATCTAGAGTTGTGTACTCACCCTTGTAAGGGTTACTCTTGCTCCACCCCCAACCTTGCCCTCACTACACAGACCACAGCATGCTGGAGAAATGGGCTGAAAGGAACTTTGTGATATTCAACAAAAATAAATGCAATTTCCTGTACCTCTGGTGGATTAACACCATACACCGGTACATAGTGGGGGGATTCCTGCACCTCTGGTGGAGTAACACCATACACCGGTACATAGTGGGGGGGACTCTCTGCACTGAAAGCAGCTCTGCAGAAAAGGATCTGGGGACTCCTTCTGGGCAGGTTGAACATGAGTCAACAATCTGCCCTTACAGCAAAGAATGCCAACTGTATCTGGACTGTTTATCAAGAGCATAGCCATCACATGAGAAGAAATTTTTATTCCTCTCTATTCAGTACTTTGTCAAGACCATATCTGGAGTACTGTGTCAATCTTTGGGCTCACCAGTACAAGATGGGCATTGACATATTGCTATGAGCCCAGTAAGGGCCACCAAGCTGGCCAGAGGGCTGGGGGCACATGATGTATGAGGAGAGCTGAGGGAACTCTGGTCTTTCAGCTTTAAGAGAAGGCTGTAGTGAGGTATTGCTGTCTACAGCTACCTACAGGGAAGATACGGAGAAGACGAAGCCACACTCTTCTCAGAGGTGCCCAGTCATAAAGCAAAGGGGACTGCCTGCAAGTTGAGACACAGCAAATTTCAGTTAGGATTTTTTTTAAAATTTTGATTTAAAAGACTGTGGATATACTCAAAACTCAGCAAGTCCCTGAGCAACTTGGTCTAATGGGACCTGCTCTGAGTGGGGAGTTGGACCAGCTAACCCCTAGACGTTCCTTCCAGCCTGAATTATTCTTTGGCTTGTTGAAAGTTACTTGTTGAACTTAAGGGACATATACCCAAGAAATGCTCTATTTGTCAGCCAATAAGGGATCAGAAACTTAAGTTACACAACTTGCTGCTTAGACCCTGAAAGCCCAACATTCCAAATCCCGCATTTGCCATTGGCTGGTCTTGGCTTCTCAGCAGCTTAAGGGAGTCTCTGATGTGGAGCTGAGACTGTTTTCAAAAGAGGATATCCCTCAAAGGTACTCCAAGAAATGTCTCTTCCTCTCAGCTTTCTGCAGTTTGGCTTTGTAAAGTCAAGGCATATGAAGGTATTACAAAAGATTGATAAATGAATTAAATTTATATCAAAGTTGTGTTTATTAAAGCTGTGTAATTTGTTGAATTCTCCTTTATTTCATTACTACTATTTTGACTGAGCCAGTCATTCTGATTTAAAAAAAAAGTAATCCTGCTCATTTATCCTATTATGCTGAATCAAATAAGAGAAAAAAACTAATTTAAGGCCTTTTGCTCTCTTGTTCTTTGACTATATTCAAGTATACATATTCAATATTTCCCCCTTCCATTTTTCACAAGCATATAGGGAGGACAAGTCTTACTTTTACTGAGCTGTTTCTGCAGCACCAATTTTGCTAAGGTTCCAGAATAAAAATACTGTGACAGCTATATATAGATATTTCTGTATTGGGTTAAGAGTCCTCTCAAAATAATGAATTTCCACAAAACACTGTTGCCTATTTCTCTCTTTTGTGATGGCATTTTGCACAGTCAGAAGAACAGTAACTTCAGTTTGCCTTCCAAGACTAATCAGAAACTTGATAATTAAATACCTGCCTGATATTGTCAGCTTTTTTCCCTTGCATAGTAAGTGCACATTGTATGATAAGAGTACATTGCTGTTGCATCAGTGCAATGAGAACCACTGACTTTTTGCAAAAAGCCAAGAACCAAAAACGTGCATTGTTAACATCACCATAAAGTTATTTTTTTAACAAGTCTTAAAAACAAAATGCTCCAACTTACCCAATTAACCAAAATTATTTTGTTCTCTGATAGCTCCCATGGGTATCTCAGACCAAAGTCTGCTAAGAGACTTCCCTGCTCCTGGAGGGCAGGCTGCTGGAGATAAAATCATTGACACTGAAGCTGCTGGTCAGGCCAACTTAAAAGAAGGTGGCAGAGAAGAAGATGGAAGCCCAGTCAAAACTCCACAATTAGAATTGACTCAGGATGGAAAGGTATGGCTGACTTTGACATGAAAATTGTTTGTGATGTGTCCATTTGTGGTTATTTAGTGCCTATCACATCTGAGCATCCTACAGGACACTATATTCAAATATTAAAGGAAAATTGTCAAGTACTTTCTTTAGATTTAACTTAATGTATGTAAGCATTCTGAATGGCGTTGATCTAGGCTTTCTTTTATTGTTATAAATTTATCTTGAAGTCTTACTAAGCTTCCGTGAGTTCTTGAAAAAATGTTTCAAAGGGTAAATAATGTTTTATTAATTTCCTTAGTTTGTTTAGACTTTACTTTCTTTGGATTTAACTTAATGTATGTAAGCAAAAGAGAATACAAACTTCTGAATGGCGTTGATCTAGGCTTTCTTTTATTGTTATAAATTTATCTTGAAGTCTTACTAAGCTTCCGTGAGTTCTTGAAAAAATGTTTCAAAGGGTAAATAATGTTTTATTAATTTCCTTAGTTTGTTTAGACTTTTTTAAAAAAAATGTTAGTATATCCACAATTGTGTACATTCTACAAAATTGCATATATTATGACTGTGTTTAATTGCCATTGGCAACAGTATTGTTTTAGTAGCCATTGCAGAATTATTTCATCCTTTGAAAACCTCTGTGTTGACTGAGGTGTAGATTTCTGTGAAAAGTTCAGTACTTTGGTCTGTTCCTGTTACAAACAACCATTTACTTGTCTTGTTTGTTCAAGCTACTGGGTGTATAGATAAAAAACTTAAATTTAGATCTTGTATGATTTGATTTAAAAAATTTACTTCCAAAGTGTCAGCTAAAATCTGCTCCTCTTCTCTCTTGGAGATCGTTTCTTTTTCTGGCAGTTCTCCAGTACTTTCTTTCATATTTAAAGCATAATTTATTTTTTCAACATTTTTGCAAGTTGACTACTCATTTGATTCCTTGGGGGACTGCTGAGTTTTACATGCAGTTCTCATGTTCCCACTGCATTCAAGTGTAGGAAGGGAACAAATATCAACAGCTGCATTTTTTTGCTTGCTGACAGGTTGAAATAGTCTTGAATTAGCTTAGGAAAAAGGCACATACTGAGTTGCTTTATGGGAGAAAAACGGTAAAATAAATTTCTGTGTTTTGACTTTGGGCTTGGTAAAACCGTGATACTCCCTTGTTTTCAGAGTGACAGTACTTTTCAAGATTTTAACCCAAAGAAGAAAAAAGAGTATTTTTGGAAGTTGTTCCAGGAAGCTGTTCAGTAAGGTTTTGTTACATATGCCAGTTCTGTGAACAGCTTTTTTTGCCCCCTAGTGCAGATACTTCTTTTGCTTTCTGGCTCACTAAGTCTTAGAGGAAATGATAATAAACCAAAGAATCGTGACAGTATTTTTCAAGATTTTAACCCAAAGAAGAAAAGAAGAGTATTTTTGGAAGTTGTTCCAGAAAGCTGTTCAGTAAGGTTTTGTTACATATGCCAGTTCTGTGAACAGCTTTTTTTGCCCCCTAGTGCAGATACTTCTTTTGCTTTCTGGCTCTCTAAGTCTTAGAGGAAATGATAATAAACCAAAGAATCGAAGTGCCAGCTTGTCTTGTGTACTGCACTGTCCCCTGACCTTTCTCTCAAAGCTTTGAATGTCTGTCGACTTCCATCTCTTGTGACTATTATAGTTCAAAAGTGCACAGTTCTTTACAGCCTGAGAACAAAACATTTGCAATGGGTTCTGTTTCATAATCCACAGAAGTAAACAACAAGGTTGCTTGTAAAACAAGTGGATTTTTATTTTTATTTGTCATTTCTATTGTGCTAGTAGAGATATTCCTGCTTCTAAGTAAAAATTTTCACTAACTAATAATTTCTTTTTTTCCCCTCTTCTTGTGCCTTCAAACTTGCATTTTGTTGTGCTTTCATTTTTCACTCTGCACAGAATTTATTTCTTCAGCTCACTCATGTACACCCGCCATCACTACCCATCTGTTATGTCTCATCCCATCTCACAAATCTGTCACCTCTCCCTGAGATGGATGTGCTTTCAGATATTTCAGAGGAAGATCCCTTTGGGGAGCCCCTCCTTACCATCCCAGACATCTCAGAGTGCAATTCCATGAAAGAAACACCAGATCATAATAAAAACAAAATAGCTTCACCAAATACTATCTTGGAATCTGTGAGACCCCTAGCTAGTCAAGGCTCCCCTACTGTGGAGGGCAATATCCATACAAATGACTACAAAAGCACTGAGTTGTGTGTCTCGTTCAGGTTTATCAGATGCTTTTCTTTTAGTTTCCGTTCACTGCTTGATGATGATGGTTATATTACTTTTCCTAGCCTTCCTGATGTTTGCATCTCTTTCCTCCCACCTGGCCTTCAGCACTATATTCCTATTACCTCTCCTTCCTTCATCCCTTCTTTTCTCCTTACCTTTGTGCTGCTTCTATCTGCTTTCCAGTCTATTCCTTTTTCACTCACATTTTCCCTACCTCTTGCTCTGTCCCTCTGCTACCTGGAGCCTAAGGTGACTTCCCTTAGTGCCTCTAATGAGAATGACCTGAATAACAAAGCAGAGTAAGAGGAGGTGTGTAATTTTGTTGCTTAAGAGTTTACACTTGCACGTAGCTTTTATGCTAGTTCTCCCAGAGGCTTGCTCGATTTTGTGCACTTCCTGGTATAGGGATACATCTATGTACATGCCTGTGTGTATATATTAATACACACACACACACACGCGCGCGTGTGTATATCTGTATCTTTCTAACTTTTCTCATTTGTGAAAAAACGCTATTGAGAGATTTTGAGTCAATAGATAGCTGGTGGTTTTTCTGCCTGAATTCTTACAGCATGTGTAATTTGATTCCCCAGATACTGAGCTGTTGGTAGAGTTGCTTTGTAGTTCAAAATGTTTATGAGCACATAAATCTGAATAGTGAAAGTGCTGTGTTGTGATAGGTATATTATTATGTGATACTACTTGCAAGTTGTGCTACTTGCACTATCATTTTCTGTTAAAATGCATGTCTCTTGTGTGCATTGACTGGAATGCACATCTCAAAAGTTGTGTTTAGATCTGAGAAGTGAAATTCCTAAAAGCTGAATTTGGAAAATTGTGACTGCTTTAAAATCAGCTTCTTTTGTTATTCCAGATTTCAGATGCTTCTGGTCTACAAGGGTGTGTGCAAAGTTGAATCTGTCCAAGGCACTTTTTTAAAGTGCTTTCATTAATCTCTAGTAGCAGTTAGTGTGGAGACTGATTTCATTCATTAGCTGGGATTGCATGTTGTGTCAGACTTTAATCATTGGAGCCTGAACATTCTTTGATATACACAGTTAAATTTGCTGTGTAGTAGTCCCAGTCACAATAGTAAGATGCTCTGATCATCTGGAGTGGTTGACAAAATGCCTCCTTATGTCTGCTCTGCATGTTACAGCAATGCTACTAGAAAAAGGCGGGTTATTTTGGTCTTCAAAGAAGATATGAAACCAAGTATTACAGAATCGAAAAGGGGGAGGGCCTGTTCGATGTTGTATTTAACAAAGTTTGTTAAACTGATTAAATCAATACAATGTGCATATTAAAAGCATGCTAAATACAACGTGGTGTCATTAAAAGCACCAAACTAAATTTAAAATAATGAAAAACTTGACTTTAGACTTTCTCAATTTTTCTGTAATCTAATTCAATCCATCATTTGTAATGTAAAGTTGCAGAAAATAGAACCCCAGATAAGCAAAAAATGTGGTATGTACCATTATCATGTGTGCATTCACACATAATCCACAATGTAATAGTATGTGCAATAGGTAAACCCCTCTTTAAATTTATGTATTTGCACAGTGATGACTTCTGAATGCATCTTTTCCTAGGATTAGCAGTTGATATTTGTACTTGTAGAAAGACTGGGAAGTGGTTTGCTTTTTAAGGAATGCTGTTGCTTAAGGCATTTAGAGTACTTGTAGGTAAGATATGAAGATTATAATTTCCAACAGTGCATTGCAGTTTGAGGAAGAATATGTTCACCTATGCAGGGGGATAGGGTGCAAATAACTCATCGCAAGACAGCAACACTTTAAAATAACGAAGACAGTTTGTAAATACAGGGTTCAAGTCAGACACCTAAATACTGGACTCTCTTACCAAAAGAACTCATGCATTAGATTCCATTTTCCCATCAACGTGTTGCAAAGTTTAAGGCACTTGCCATAGAAATTATGCATATCATTGTTTTTTCTTTACTCATTCTTAAATTTTCACCTGGGAAAACACTGAAAAGTACAGCAAGAAAGGGACATAGTGTGAAACCTCCATTTTTCCTGCCACTTATCCCAAATATTACTTCAGCCATTCTACGACAATGTAGGTGAAGGAAGACCAAAGTCGCTTAATAATTTCCACAGCATCTGGGGCCGAAACAGTAAAGGTCTGTAAATATGGCATATTTTGCAGCATTTACAAAGAGGTGAAGCCTCTGTGTTATTCTGTAAATGTATCTTAACAGTTCCTTTTCTTGATAATTTGCCACATGCTTACATAGGTGGAATCAGAAGAGGAGGAAGCACAGAAGAAGGTGCATGGTTGTGTTTTTACAATTAAATCTGGCTGTAGCTGCCTGCCTTGTTAGCACCCTGAACTTCCTATGGATTTAATCTGAATAGTGCTTTTTCACCTTACTGTTTTATTTCCCTTATTTAACTGTTTGAGTCTAAGAGTCTTTTTTTATTTACTTGTTGGTACATTTTATGTTCATTTTGATTTTTTTGGTGTGTGTGGCTTAATTTCACAGAGCAATTCCTTGAGAGTAGACGGGGAAAATATTTATGTCAGACATAGCAATTTAATGTTGGAGGTTTGTATATAATATAAGGAACACTTTCCCTTCTCACTGGCTGCCAGGCTGCATGGGATGGGAGGTCACTTGCAGGCTGTTACAGACACAGTGCATGAAGTGCATGGGGGAAAAACAGCTTGGAAATGTTGCATGTTATAATTTTAGTTTCTGAGTTTAAATTTAAGAAAGAAAAAAACAAGCAAAAACCAAAACCAAACCACAAAAAAAAAAAAATCCAAACAAACAAAACAAACCCTCAGCCTGAATGTTGAATGTATATTTGTGCTAGGTGTTTTCAAGGTGGCAACTGGGAACAATAGCCCTATTTAGATAAAACAAACACATGGATCCAATTCATAATCCTAAATAGGATTTTTATACATTGCTCTTCAATGTGTGCATCTTCTGTTGAGAAGTTTTTCTAGTTTTCTGCAGTTTAATCAACCTTTATCAAATACATTATCTGAATAACTGGAGTTAATGAGGCCCAAGCAGTGATAGAAGTACAGAAAAACTAATTCTGGTTCTGATGCTTTTTGATTTGAGGAGATTTGAGAAATGTGAGGATGAGATTTTTAAAGGGAATGTTTAGATATACTTCTGAAATCTTTGCCTTACTTTTTCACTGTTCAAATGGAAACAATTCTTCCTTCCTAACTGTTAGTTTTTATTGAAGATGAGCAACAACAGAGAGCTTTGAACAGTGTGTTAATGTGGAGAGCTTTGTCACTGAAGTGGAGATTTTTATTATAAGAATTTCCATATAGTCTGTTAGTCTGGATTATTTTATCAAAGACTGTGTGTAGTTATAATCAGTGTCATTTACCTTGTGGTTAATAACACAGACTAGTAACTAAACAAATTTTAGAAAATCCTGCTGCCGTCTTTAATTAATTTTATTCATCCAGATGGGGCTATAAATAATTCCCTGTGTCACAAAACTGTCTTTTCAAAAATCATTGGCTTTTTTCAGTGATACGGAGATGTATGGATCGCAGTAACCCAACTAATACATTTTTGGCTTTTTGCAGCTTTTGATCACTATTGAAACTTTGCTTCTGTATAACTTACTAAGGCACTGAAAGTGTGCATTGCATAACTGTGCTTTGATCAAGTCCAAGAAACGTGCCTTGTGTCAAGCCAAGACAGGTTTTTAAATTATGACGTGATTGTTATGAGCTTCAGTTGTGTAATGGAATGCTTGTGACATAAGGTTTTACTTCGCTCAGAAAATGCTTACTTTAGGGAGACGTTTAATATCTTGTTTGTTAATCTTAGATTAAAAGTGAAGCATTGGTCCTGTGGACAATATGAACCTACTGAGTTGCCAGAAGGGGGGAGTTTCTTAGTGTTCAAAGTGCTTGTGTGAATATTCACAGAATTAAGAATCAGATGTGCAGCAGCAACTGAAAAGAAGCAAGTGAAAAGAAATTAGAAAGTAATAACTTCGTATTGGGTTTGGATTTTTCATTATTTAAAACAGGGCGTCTTTGTATTGTGAGCACTGACCATAAAAATCCAAACCAAAATATTAAAGGAAAACTTCAAAATGTTCTGTTACAAAGTATATAAAATCTCTGTACAAAAACCAGATGCTTTACCTAAATTATTGTATCACATTACATTATTTTGATAAAACTTCATTAATAATTATGTCTACATTGATATTATTCCATTTTAATCTTCAGTCTTTTAATTCTGTACTAAAAATGGATCTGAGGCTTAAATTTGAATTTCACCACTGAATTTTCTTGTATTAGAGGGTGCATAACCAGCAGAGCCTTTTTTCAAGACCTGGCATGCTGGAAGGAGGACAGATTATGAAAGCAGAGTGAAATCTGCTCTGCCCACCAAAGCCCAGTATTGTATTTAAAGGATAATAAATTTCCAAGAGAGCTAAACAGTTGGGGTTTTTTTCCTACTTACCAAAGCACTAGTGTTTCTGCATAGCTCTTGATCTATGTCTGCTCCTGTATCTGCTGTGAAGTGAAACACTAGCTTGTATTTATTTGATCCAAGGTGCTGCAGTTTAGCCTCACTGGGTCATCATAAAATCTAATTTGATACTCACACTGTGGTGTCCCCTTCGGCACTTTGATATGTAGGTGCAATTTAGAGAGAACATCTATTTGGTATTGATGTGCGCAAAAACTATCCCTACTTGAGTGCTCTGTCTGCTGTCAGGTTCTTAAATGTGGAATTGGCAGATGTCAGGCTTCAGGTCTTTAAATCTGATTCTTCCAGTAAGTTTCAGCCTGCATGACAAGCACAATGAGTAGTCCCTCTGAAGTTAGGCAGGTGTTAGTTGCTTGCGTATTTGTCCCTGTAGTATTGTCTTCACAGAAGTAAGTATTTTTCATTGAGTTTTTAATATCAAGAAAGATGCATTTTTAATAATGCTTCTTGAGTTAGACTTTTTTATTACCCTCAGTAATGTTTGTTGTGCAATATTCCAAAATGCTTGCTTCTGTGCTTACAAATTTTAGATGAAAGCAAGCAACTACCGGAAATCATTATTGTTTCAAAGGGCTAGTAGTTTCATGTTTTGGATGAAAATAACCCTCTCTTAAATAACCATGCACAGCATTATTTTTCCTTCATCTTAAAATATGGAAGAAACAGTGTATGAGTGGCACTTCATTACAAAACCGAAACCATCTTAGTTATCCTATAGCTTAAACTTTTTGTATTTTAAGGCACCCCAAAGAAGAATAGCTTTTCAGACACAAGGCACTTTCCTTGGTTTGTTTTTTCTTGTTTGTTTGTTTTGCTTTGTTTTTTACAGTTGAGTTTGCTTTTGTTGTTGTGTTTTGTCCTACTTTGTTTTACGTTGCGGGTTGCTAGGACCTGGATAAGACCCAGGACGACTTACTGAAACACCAGGCTAGCATTAGTGAGCTCAAGCGCAATTTCATGGAATCCACACCTGAACCACGCCCAAATGAGTGGGAAAAGCGGCGTATCACACCTCTGTCCCTACAGGCACAAGGGGTATGTCACTGCAGACACTTCTCCGCATGCGTTTCTGTACAACCCTGTATGTAGTTTAGTAAATGCAGTTTGTCCTTTAGATTAACACTTTCTTTGGCTAATGTAATATTTGTATATACTAAGTATACATTAACTTTTTACCTCTTACCATTGGACCTGACTTTAAATAATGTGTTGAATTTTCTTCTTCTACAAGAACAACTGAATCAGAATAACTAGAAAAAAAATTGAGGCAGTATTTTCCTGTGTGTTAAGGACAGCTTAAATTTCACTCTGATTTACACAGATTGATGGAGATAATTTTTCAGTGACTGGAGAACTTTCCCCTCCTTCTCCTTCCCTTTAACTCTTCATAGACCGCTTGTACATAAACACACACACAGCCTATGTGTTGTTTCAGAAGGACCTTATGTGATCAGTTAATTTACAGTGTTGACTTCTTCAGGACATATTTAATATAGTTTTTAAAATTTGCTCACCTTAATCTCCAAAGTTTGTAAGATGAATTTGTCTACTTTTTCTCTATACCTCCTGACTGAACTTTAAACCAGCAGTTTGGAAAATTATTTTCTGCAAATATCATCCTGACTGCTTGTGGCAAGAAAGCTACCCAAATAGATTTCCCTTGCTATTGTGAAACTTTTAGTTTTATGAGGAGTTATTTGCTGCTTTCATAGAGTTTTGAATAGCAAAATCAGTCTTCAAAAGCAATCACTTTATCTTCTGTTGTTATCCTTTTCTTTCACCATTGTTCCTGCCCTTTCCTCCTAAATGTATTGTTGTCCCATCTCATTAAATTCTCAAGTATTTTCTTCAGTTCCCCAGAGAGGTAAACTTTCAATTATATATATATATTGCTTGATACTACCAAATGATTTTTGTTAATAGGGCATTATTACAACAAGATATGTAAGCAATCTGAACTGTGAGCATGTGCATACAGATGATATAGTCACTGACTCTGTGGATCACTTCTTTAATGACTATTTTGTTAATTTATGGTTACTGCCAATTATTCCTCAAATTTCTCAGTAGTACCTGAATGCACCTTTGCGTAGTGATATACGCATAGGTGCAAATGTTGGTCAAATTTTCAGATGTCCACAGCACATTGGTTCATTTAATAGCTATAAATATCTTTTGAGGTAAAATAGACATTTACATAAAAGCGTAACTTAATTTTTATTATATGGTTGTGTGTATTTTCTGTGTTATTTCTTTGTGTTGAAGTTGAGGTCCCTCCAAGTTCTTTTATCACTGTATTTTTCCCCATCTAGTATGTTCTGTCACTTTCAAATGACTTAGTTTTGTGTTTATTTATGTGTAGTATGTGTCTGTCTCATTGCTTGTTGATTTACACTGGTTTTATAAAATGAAAACCAAATAGAAAAAAGGAGACTACATTTTCCAAGTGAAAACACTGCCTGGGAAAGAGAAGCAATGGACTGCAATGCCATGGATTGCCGGAGCAAAATCAGAGGAAATCGACAAGGTGGCTGCCCTGAAACCTACTGCCTTTTTGCTGTATCTGCTGTGGGCTAGCTTGGGAACTTCTTTCTTATTCTTTTTTTTTTCCTGATGAAGATAATTATTTTTTTAGCCAGTACTGAAAGGAGAAGGTTCAGTTGTCAACCAAGATCTGTTTGTGTGTGTATATATGTATACCCACATGTATATGTGGGTATACATATATACACACACACATATATGAATGCTAGCAACATTCTGCTTAAACTTCAAACTAGCTGTGAAGTTCTGAATGGCTACTATTTGAAAAGAAAACAAATTTTTCACTAGAAAACTACTGTATTTTATGTGACTAGGATGACAGCAAAACATATATTTCTATTCCAGATGGAAATAATTCTTTGCAGTTATTTGACACTTCACACAAGAGCTTTTTGCTTTCTGTGTTTCTCTATATAATCATTATTCAAATGAATAATGCTGTAAAAGCAGCTTCATTTCAAAGGCATCCTGGTTCTGAGTTCCTCCAAGCTTCCGTACCTCTTTTTTTATCCAGGAAAAGAGGGAAGCTTTCTCTCCCATAAGCTGGTTTAACATCAATGCAGTGAAAAGCACTATAAAACCGGTGGGACTAGTAGTGGTGTGGTAGCGATGATGGGTAACAATTGTGATGTTCCTTTTTTACATCACTTTTGGACTATTTTCCACCACCTAGGAACTGTGACAAAAGTAGGTTAATGTGAAGCTGTCAGTCCTATTTCAGTAAAACATATACATACGAGGTTTGGGAAACAGTGTATTTACATCCTCAATTATTTGTTGATGGATATGGAGAAGTTTGCGTTCAACTGTTTTGTTTCCCCCAATTTATAAACTTTCTGGTATTAGTAGACTACTGCATTAATCTCAGTCCTATTCCTGGACTGTATGTTTCCTTGCCTGTCTTTTAGGACAGTCAGACAATAGACAAGAATGAAGCAGGGATCCCTGCTGCTAATATTCTTTCTTTTCTTCCTTCTTTTGCTTTTGTGAAAATGCTTGCAAATAAGTCATTTTCTGTGTATGAGAAATGTTATTTTGGGTAGATATTGTTTGTGCTACTTTACTTCTATATCACTGTACTCCCACAAATGCACAGCATCTGTGACTTAATTATAACAGAAATTATGTGACATTGATATGGACATCACAAATAGATGTGAAATATTGTTATGTTATAGATAGCCGTAATCCTTTATTTTTTCCCTAATCCACCCCCCTCCCCATGCTACTTGTAAACACATGTTAGTGCATATGACTACGTACAAGAAGGAATTTGCCAGGAATTTAAACATCCTCACAGGCTGGTACATTATTGTAACTACAGTAATTTGATGAAGAGTGCCAATTCAATCTGTGCATTTAATCATTTTTACCTAAATGCCTCATCAGGGAACAGGGGTCATGTTGTCAAGCAAATTGTGTGATTGGGGTTTTACTTTTAAAAGATAAGACTTAAAAATTTGAAGGTGGTAAAATGCAGAAAGATGGGTAGTATGTGCGTGTCTTTATTATGTACATGTGGGGAGAGAGAGATGCACATAGCCTGATGACATATCACGTAGAGATTTCTCTCCTCTTCCTTATTTTACTGCTTTGAGTGGTTAGAAAACATGTGGTACCAGAGTATGGTAGAAGGAATACCATGAACATTTCTGCCTTTTGATGTAATCTCTTAGTAGATGAACATATAGTGGATGTGGTAAACTAGGGAAAGTAAGTGGGGGTGAGGAACACATTGCCCTGGTGGATACTGAATGTTGCGTGAGAGCAGATGTAATAACTTGCATTCACATTAGATTTTTTAAGCCACCTTTGAAATATACTTTAAATTTTACTGTAGGAAAAAAAATAGGGGTTCTTTTTCTTCTCTGTTCTTCTGCATGCCATATGTGTTGTAGTATATGTACAGTAGCATGTTATAACTTATGTCAGTTCTGATTCTACATTGCTGCTCACACAGTGAGTCCACAGGGGCTACAGCTGTCTGCATGGCACCTTGGCTTTCCTCTGGAATGTGCTTCTGCTGCGATTCTCTGTAGTACTGTTTTCTAAGATAGACATGTATTTTATTGAATGTTGTCAAAATGTGTGTTATGTCCATGATAAGTATTTGTTACATTATTGGCTTTTTCTTTTAGCTGTTCTTACTTCTAACTTAATATAAGAGCTCATGGAAGGAAAACTGGAATAAAGAATTTTAGCCTTTTCAGAGGCTTGTACCCACATTAATTTTAAAAGTTTGCTTTGCAATACAGATTTATAGTACTACAGAAAATAGGCCAGACTATGAACATAATTTATGCTTTAAAGCAATGTTCACTTTTACGTATGTTTGAATAAAATGGGTTTTCCCAGTAGAATGGGAAATGCTTTTTGAAAACAGATTCTTTTATAGAAGTGGGCTTGCTTAGGTTATTTAAGCATTTGAAAAACATATACATATATATAACATATATTGAAAAGAAAACCTTATTCTGGCATTGTGGGTATGTATTGTTCAAAGCAAATGTATTTGACTGCACTGAAGCTCTGAGACTAGGAGGCATGAGGTGGTGTTAAAAATGAGGATTTTTCCCTTTTAAAAGTCCATAGTAAATATAGGATTACTGCCTCAGTAAACTGTTCTGTTTGGGAAACCCATGGAAATGTTAATGTTTTTAATTTTCATCGTGGGATATGCATGGTGGAGAGATGCGGTATGCGAGTCTGCCCGGCTGTTGCGGTGACAGTGATTTTGTCCCGTCTGTTCCCTGTGCCCCCCGTGCTCCCGCAGCATCCTCCTGGCCGAAGGCTTTTCTTTGTCACGCCGTCTCTCTTGCCAAACCTTTCCTTTGTAGGTCGCTGCCATCCTTGGTGGCTCCCTGCCGCTCCGTCCGTCACTGTTTAATTCTTTCCTTTCCCTTTTCTAACTCGTCTAGAGCCTAGAAGAGGAGATAACGTCCATTTTATTTAGTAAGGAGGGCTTTTGCGCTGGCACGAGAGGGCCCTTCGCCGCCGCCAG